TGAAATGCTCAAAACATGTTATCATATTATCAGATTAAAGTCAGAGTATTGAAAATGAGGTCTTCACAATTACAGGAGAAGTTCTGATGACCATACGAAAACAGACTCGAAAAACAGGAAACTTTTTGTTATGATCAAAATAAGATTGTGAGAGGAAATCGGTCAAATAGAGGCAGATAGATTGAGAAGTGGCGAGCGTAAACTGGCAATAAAAGACAAAAGTGAAAAAATCAGAGGTAAGAGAGAGGAGAAAAGTACGAGAAAGTAGCCAATGTGTGTGGCAGAGGAGACAGAATAAAATCGTCTCTTGGAAAACTGACAATAGGAAGCCTGCTTTTTCATCTCAAAATCAATACTGCTTGAGGGGAGTCACTGGTTGAAGACCAGTGCCATTTCCACCGAATGGCATCGCACTTGATCAAGAACGTACTCATCTCATCGTCTCCCATGTGAACTCTGAAATGATCTCTGTCTACAAGATACAGAAGGTCGAATTATGATGTTTCTAAAGTCTCTGTGCTATAATATAATAGATGGCAACTTTTCAGGATTATCGATCACTGTCACATGTGGTCGATGTTCCATTGCTAACAGCGGCGGACAACCTCTACGTAGAGAAAACCGGAGCTGTATGGACGGTGAGGTCTGATTGAATTTCAAACTCTGATTCTTCTGGGCTATAACACTCTTACATATCAGCTTCTATCAATTTCCTCTTTCAGGGCGCTCACCCGGTGATCAAAGACGCCATCAAACATTTGGGTGATTGTGATAATCCGAAATACCATGCACCTTCACAGGTGGACTCTGCAGCTATTTGAAAACGATTCATTTCACTTCGACTTTCTATCTAATACCTATTACATGAGAACATCGCTTCTGGAGCATTTAGATGTAATCGATTCACTGACTTCATGGCCTTCTCTGCCACACCCATTTCCTATTTCCTCGTACTTTTCTCCTCTCTCTCTTACCTCTAGTTTTTTTCACTTTTTTATATTATTACCAGTTTACGCTTGCCACTTCTCAATCTATCAGCCTCGATTTGAGCGTTTTCTCTCATAATCTTATCTAAATAATAACAAAAAGTCCCCTGTTTTTCGAGCCTCTGTCCATATGGTCATCACAACTTCTCCTGTAATTGTGAAGACCTCCTTTTCAGTCCTCTGACTATAATCTTATAATATGATAACATGTTTTGAGCATTTTATGAGGGTTTGGTATGGCATTTATACAGTACTATATAGGCCTGCTTCGCCTTTCCAGGCGCATCGGTAGTGCGGTACCCTTTGGTTCAGCCGACCTCAGTGGGATTTACCTCTGTTCATAAAAGACTCAGAACATGTTAACATGTTATTATATTATTATTGGTTTTAAGCACGGTCTACGAAAGTGGTCGAATGAATAGGTAACTATGACTATAGACTACCACGAGACATAAAGTTGTCTCGTGGTACTTTGATCAACTGTTAGTTTTCCTTTCACTTTTGATAAGGCATAAAACACATTTCCTTCTTTTCAAAGTAGAGCAGTTAGAGATTTTGTGATCGTTAGTCATTTTTCGTTCTCTATCTTATTAGTAATTCTCGACTAATATAGAGTGCATCAAGACAGTTGTGGTGATGCAGCGTCTGGCCATTTGAGAATATTAGCAACATCTAACCGTATCGATAATCCTGATTTCGCAACGTCTCAGATGGCTATCACATACCTTCAATCGCAAATAGCTTTCAGTCCGCTTCATCCATAAAGAACCTCAAGATCATTGTTTGAAGTCATGGGTATTTTCAATAGTTGTACTCTGAAGCTTGGTGACATTTGAAGGATTCGTTGTCGTTTACAGGTGCTACGAATAGCATTTTCGAAGGAATATCGTCTCATGGGAGGTCAGTGAGCCGCTAGCTGATGACGGCCGCTTCATCTCCGCTTCGTCAATTGCGGTCCCCTTCAACAACCAGCTACTTGTTGGTTCTGTCTGCAGACAACTTGTCCACTGTGATGTCATGCCCGAAACCATCTAACTACGCATTGTTCATCATTGCATAGCGTATTTGATGTGTGCGTGTTATTCCACCAAGAATTGTTAGAACTTTGCACCAGAAAAATAAAAACATTGTTAATTTTCCATATACTGTGCGAAAGCATTTGTTAAAATATATTACATGCGTTAATTAGTTCGTGTGAAAAGTGTTCCTTTTCTTTCTGCCTGCCAGCGAGACTTTTCGCCAGTGTCGTAGATCCAGTCACAAACTTGGGTAATTAACTTATTTTTAACAACAGCAGGTATGCTACATTATCGATATATCATTACCGAAACAACACAAGGAACTTTGTGGTAAGACATGCAGTAAGCGAGGATAGAACGAGAAGAGAGCGGTCAATGGTAGAGGCGCAAAAGTCCAGCACATAGCAAGGCATCTGTAGGCTTCGTAGTATTTGAGTTATCATGACAACACAGTGAGCAAAAAAATGTTGTGGAGATTTTTATAGAATAGTCATAAAGAGCGCAAATTTAAACTTCTCCAGGCTATAGAAATAGATGGGAGAAGAGAGAATTGTGTTTCTTCTCTTCGAGCGATTCTCATTATTTGACGCAGTTTTTATGCTCCCCGTTTTGTGAGAAATTTTGAAGTTCTTGTACTATTTGATACAATACGATTTTCTTTACTCGCCCATATGCTTTTGTTTTACAAATATGTGTTTTGTATAGAGAAAAGCGTTGGTTTTACTACGCAAGAATTCTGAATTTGGAAATTAATCATTTATGATGAATTCTAGAAAGGTTATCACAATAGAAATCTTTAGTTTTGATCTCTCCTAGTTTTATACAAACCGAAAGTCATCATAGTAAGCACAAAATGGAAAACAATGAATAATTTATCAAAAATCATGATGCATGCTGCATATGACACCACTTAGTCAATAGTTCTCCTTGTAACTAAGTTTATATCACTCATTCGTTTATTTCCAATTGTTTAGAGTTGCTATATGTAAGAAAGAGTTGAGAACTTGTGAATAAGAGAGAAATTCTGAATGTGGAGGGACAATCGTGTCTTACTAAAACGCTGGGAACATCGGCATTATTTAAACTATTGGTCAGAAATAACTTCCCCCTAAGAAGTAATCTTTGTTCTTTTTCGCAATCCACACCCATATTCGAAAAACGTTATACTTCTACTACTCTCTGACGTTTTAGTAAAATTTCGACAGCCTGAATATCGAAAATTTACAGAGTGTATTTTCTTTGTCAAATGGTTTTTGTATTATAGTGTAAAAGTAAAAATAAAATTGTATCTCACACTCAAGCATTTGAACTGGGCAAAGCTTTTTCTTGAAAAGTTATGATTATTCGATAGCAGAAATCTCAACGATTTCAATGATATGTTTCGCTTTTGAGAAGAACGTACAAGCGCGCTGTTACAGCTACACTGATAATAGTGATGCGTCGATCGCGCAGCGCAATTTACACGTGGCTTGCGATGAGCAACGAGTGCAAAGCGCAATATTCTTCTAGCTGTAACAACGCACTTAGAAGTCTTCTTCAAAAACCAAGAATATTATTGAAATTGTTGATAATTGCGCCACGCCATCGAGGGGGTATGAAGATATGAGAGAAAAGCCGTGAAGCATACTTTTATTTGTTGGTACCACCTCGCTAAGAGGCTTTCTGATCAAAGTGCAAGCACATCATTGAAATCTTCGGTATTTAAGCTATTGACTAGTTATTGAAAGGCGATAGCTTGATAGCGATGCTGCGATATTCATCTACATACCGGTGTAAGGTATGCGTTCCGCATGTGAATTGGAATCTCAGTTTCAGTGTTATAGGGCAGCAGAGAGCCTTTTTGGAAAGCTAAAAGCACTGTACTTGCCGAAATTTTAGGTATCAAATAATTATTTGATTTTTTAAGGGAAAGCTTTGCTCAGGGAAAGTGCTTATGTGAAACAAAACTTTATTTTTGCTGTCGCAGCGTTAATATAGAGATTTTCAAAAAGCAAAATATACCTTCCCAATTCTCGAGATTCAAGCTATCGGATGATCACTGAAATGTCAAAAAAATGGAAAATAAGTTTTTTCGAATATGAGCGCTGATAGAGGAACTACCGTATATCTCGTAATAATGAACCGCGCGCTCTTTCTACACTTATTTCACTCACATACTGCAGTTACTTCCACATAGGCCTCTATCAGAGGTGCTTAGTCGTAGAAGATGTGCTTTAAACGTTTTAGCAAGACAAGCGATACAAATACACAATAAAAGTTGAAATTGTTTTTTTTTCAAGGACATGGTTTTACCTCCAAAAGTTAAAAATTTCACGAGAGTTAATCGCTCTGTATACGAAACCCCTCTGTAGAAGGTCCATTGGTGGTATTCTATGCTTTATGTAGTGATAAGATTTCCTCGACGTATAAACTTCCCTAAATACCAATAAACCACCTATGACGCTCAAGCGGCGGTTAAGATTTTATACGCGAAATATAATCTTTTCTTCTCTCTTACAGCGTTCTTTGATAACCTTTCAAATAATTACAATTTTCACTGAACGCCAAAAACGCCTGATCGGATGAGGCGGATGGTCAACGAAGTCGAATGCACGACGTATGGTTAATGGATCGATCAACGCTCTAGAACTTTATCCTTCATCTTTTCACTTCAGTATACATTTTAGGAATGTATACAGCCTAAGCGAGGTTGGTACGCCAAAGCTATACACGCGTGTTTCAGAGGCCTCGCCCACCTCCTCAGTGGCCCACGCCCGACATTAAGCCCCTGCATTGCAGCAAGGAGGAAGGCGTATGTGGTGACAGCACAACGTACAATGCTCCCTCCTTACTAAAATACAGGGCTTAATGTGGGGCGAGGGGCCACTGACGAGGAGGGCGAGACCTTCGAAACAAGCCTATATGGTCTGGCGTACCAATCTCGCTTATGCTTTAAGCATCCTCAAAAATTATATTGATTATTTACTTGCTGATGTAGAGTGATGTGCAAAACTTTCGCACCAGGCGGGACTAGAACCCGCACCTCACTCTTTACGAGAGCGCATGCTCTATACCGTTACACTACTGACACCCATTTCGCGCACTACTCTTTCTACGCTACAACGCATCTATCGGTCGGCCTCCAGCAGTCAACGGCTTGGCCCAGATAGCCGATATCGGCATTGAGCAGTCACGCTGACAGATATTGGGTCCGCTGCAAGCGGTTAAATATGAAGGAATTTTATTATATTAAATGTTCATTAAGAGGTTTTGGAAGCAGACGAATCTATGGATCAATTTGTATCTACCAGCCACGATCCATCGACTGAATGTGGTGATAGCACAATGTCATTGTACGTTGTGCTGTCACTTATACGCCTCCCTCCTTGCTACAATGCAGGGCTTAATGTGGGGGCGTGGGCCACTGACGAAGAGTGCGAGACTTCCGAAACACGTGTATGTGTACCTCTGGGTACCAACCTTGCTTGGGCTTTGAACAATTTAAATTTTGTATTGAATGTTTATTGCGAGGTTCAAAAAACAGTTGATGCTATGGATCTTTCATTTCGTTATACACACCACCTCAGGTACAGAACTCATTAATTACTACATTAATTACTACATGTTTAGATTGTTTATGAGATGGGACTAAGCAAATTCGATTTCAGCTGCTGTGCCTACGTGGAGAAGTGAGAACCAGTTGTATGGAGGGCTGATTACATCCAGAGGTCGCGTGGCGTCGCAAACAATTGACCCAGTGCTGTTGATGTTTACCCTCTGTGGTTCGGCTCTATCGATTCAGTTAAACATACGCTCAAACAAACAACTGACTATTGTTAACTATAGAAAATTGATCTTCTTTCCAAGCACAGGGGCGAGCATCTTCTAGTATTTCTATTATTCGACTACAGATTTTGTTGCAAACTCTTTGCAAAATCTCGTATTCATAGACAAAATAAGGTCTCGGAGGATTTGCACCAAATTTTGATTGAGTTTCGTGATTTCAAACTGAGTTTAGAATAGAAATTTCCTTACACTAGCATGTAACTTTCTTCAAAAACTTGATTTTCTCAGAAAATCAAAAATTACTGAAATTTTATCACAACTTCCAGCATTTCCTGTTACTTTTTCTTTAGGTGTTAATCACGGTGCGTTAAAAGTGTCTTTTGTGTCTGGCTACTGAGGAACTAATTGAGCACCTAAGAAAAATCTAGCATATGATTATTGTATTCGAGATGTTGCGCATCCACGCTCTTGCACTGATCGTAATTTGTTTATTCGGATTCTGCCGTTGTGATCTCGAGTTGTTTAGGGAAGCGATTATAACAATAGGGAGAGCACACTTTTGCGAAAGTCTTCACGAATGCTTCGTTTCCTTCTGCTCCTCATTGTCGTTGGTGCACTCACGGGCTATGTCTACAAGATAATGTGTGTTTTCAGATTAGACTTGAATTTATTGACATTTTTGCAGCTTTTCAAAATTTGGTAATGACATGGCATGGTCATTTTTCACTTATTGATACACACTCGATTACTCTCAAGCTTGTGTATCTTACACTTACAAGTAAATGCGAGTGAAAATTAGTCCGGATAGTTTTGTGAATTACTACGATACTTCTCTTTACGCACCAGTTTTCAACTCGTTGGGAAACCGGGTTTACCGCTTCTTTTGAGTTTTAGTAATCATTCGATAGTTAAAATCTGGAGGATTCTAATGGTGTTCTTAAAAGTCCTCTTCGATGCGCTGTAGCAGTGAAACTAAAATTATATTTCAAGTCGAGTATGCAACACTGCCCATGTAGTTATTTCTTTCACTTGTTGGCACATGTAAAAAGTACGTCGTCGCCTTCCCTGTGTATGAAAATTGGGTATCACTCAAGAAGTTGGCTAAGACGGAGGGCACTGCCTAGCTGATGAAGCTGTCAAGGCAACTACAATGTTAAAAGCCCACCAATCCTTACGAAACACTTGTATTGGACTCTATAAGTTACACATTACAGACCACATTAATGGCTCAGAAAAATGGTTATCAGATAACTTGAAATTATTTTTCACGTTTGGCGCGTTTTTGCCTGCATTTTTACTTAATCCAAGATTTTCTTTTCGTTTCTTACGGATACCTGATCTTTTTGCCTTGTAGTTGTAAAATGAATTTAATTCTATCGTTCTATAGGCTTAGGATTTTCATTTTCGTTTCGTATTGTCAAATAAAACACTATCAAGCCTGAACCTAAACCCATGATTGAGAAGCGTATGACCGAGTAAAAGGAATCGCGAAGTATCAGAGTCTCAAATTTTATTTGAGTTTTTTTTCCAAAGCGGAAAAGATTTTAGTAACAAAAATTGCACGCCACACGTGAATTACGTTACATGATCAATGTCGAAGGCACTCACAAACCCTAGTCGGCAAGAAATGCGCGCGCCGAGTTTTGAAATTCAACATTCTTTTGGCTACTACACCATACTAAGAATTATTTTTCGTTCTTTCTGATTACGAGGGAAAAATGGAAAACTCATCTCTTTTGCTGGATAAGAACTTTTGATGGGAGTGTAGTAACAATTTGAAAGCTGAGACTGTGGCTACAGCCCCATGTCGTCGGTTTTTCAAAACACCCCTTAATGACGCTGTAGCATTCAAAGTGAAATCATGTTTCATAAAGCCACATGTTTTCTTTTCTTATATCGATTGTAATTAGCTGAACAAAACTCCTTCCTTAGACTGCTAGTACTCAAACTATAGCGAAAGCTTCAAACAACTCAGGAATGTGCTTGGTCATCAAAAAGATCTTCTAATCTTTTGATCTCTTCTGCTCTTTTGAGTTGTGCATTGAATCTCTTCAGCCTTTCCCTTATTTTGTTCTTTCTTAGACTATCAGTAATCATCTGAAAGTGTTGCTTGCTGATTTTAGCGATGCGATTAATTTGTGGAAATATGGTTTAGCACAGAAAATAAGATCGAGTTTTTACATTCCTGGCAAATTTGTGTACAGGCCATTCGATAAGGTGAGGGCCGTGGTAGGGGGCTGTCGCGGGACGCGGGCGGGACAAGTAATCTTTTGTTTCCATTGGGAATTTTTCCTTCGGTTTGAGTTATACGCGTGATAAAAATGAAGGCGAAAGCTGAGTGTGAAACACAGTTTTTGATTTGGATAATACACCATTAAAAAGGGGTGTTTTGAAAAACTGGCCAAGTGGGACTGTAGCCTGAAATCTCTGCTTTTTAATGGTCATTAACACTCGTATGAAAAGTTCCTCTCCAGAGAATGAATTAAGTTTCTCATTTGTTCACTCTTAGTCGGAAACAATCTTTTTTTTTTCTAAAAACCAAGTACACCATCAGGATCGTCAAGATTTAAGTTATCGAGTTATTACCAAAAGTCCTAGGGGAAAGCTTCGTTCAGCGAACAATGCCCAGGGTGAAATATAATTTCTTATTCTTGTTACAGCATAATTAAAATAATATAATATATATGATTAAAATGTCTTTTCAGAAATAGAGTATACCATTGCAATTCTCGCGATGTAAGGTATCAAATGACCATCAAAGTTTTGGAAATACCAGGAAACTAGATTTTCCTCAAAGAGTTGAAAATGAGTGTGCATAGGAGAAAAAACTGTCATTACTATTGAGAATAGATTTTTCATCGACCACGTGCAGCACACATTTCTGTATTAGAGATAGTGACTAAGAACCAACTATAATTTGATCCTTTGTCCTAAAATAAAAAGCAAAAGCTTAGTTTTCAGTATGGGCTAGACTTTTACTCTGATCTATTAGGTATTCTCACAAGTTTTTATGCGCAACCATCTTGGACATATTCAAGCCTTCTCTCAGGCAACAAGTCAATGCCACGTTCATAGGACTCGTCATTTCTTCATTCAAAGAAAGTTGTTAATCCTCGACGCAAATGAATGATGTCTAGGAAATTCTTCTTGCTCATGAAGTGCTCCAGCGATCGAAAGAGGTGGTAATCTGACACCGACAAGTCAGGACTTGCAAGGGATGTACCAGCAAATTTCAGCCCAGTTCTGTCAATTTATCTTTGTCAGTTTGATGACATGCAGTTTTGCGCTATCTTGAAGCAGGATAAGGTTCAGGCGACGTCGACGTGACAGAGCCCAATTACAGCGGTCCAGGTCTTTTCCCCTGGATACAGTCCCTTGAACCTATGCGCGGTTGATGCTCTCAAAGGTGATCTGGGCATCACGTCCCAGGTCGTGCTCGTAACGGCGCAAATTGCGATGAGGCTTCATTGAATGGCCATCAAACGGCAGTATGGACAAATTTGGTACCAAAAGAAAGCTCAGAAAATTCTGCACAAAGCGGTTTTGATTTATTGCCTGAGAGACGGCATATGTGTTCAGGCTCTTGGCGCATGCTTTGAGCAGTGTTGTTGAGCAATTTTGATTAGTTCTGATAGGTGATTGGTGTTCATTGCTGTAGTGTCAAAAGTTATGCTAAGGCCTAATATATAGTGAATAGTCTTGTTTAGTGATTGACCTATTTAGATTTTTTTTTTTACTGTCTACGCTAATATTGATCGGACTTAGCTTACCAAGCGTAATACAAAACTTCTTACTAATCTAGCAAGAGCCGCTCTGTTTCCTTAAGAAGTGTTTGACGAGTTCATTTCGTTCTAGCAGCAAGAACTGCTTCTTTTGAAGGATTCTGCTGAGGTAACATCACTTCAATCATGCGCTGGTCCACAATACCCGAATTAATTCATGCTAATATGAAGGCAGATAGAAGAAAATGATTCTTCTAAGCACTCGACATTAGTCATCGCACCTCTGAAGAAGGCGTTAAAACCTTAACACTAATCACTGTGAAGCTTCCAAGCAGTCTGTGTATTTCTATAAATTACCTGTTTCACTAGTCGTCCCGCTGATAGTCGAGTGGCTCGAGCGAGTGCCATTGCAAATTCCATTTTTCCATGTGGCGTGCAAAAATGGGTCCTCGTCATTGTAGGGATTCGTGAAGCGCCATATCTTTTTCTTAGGCTATTGAGAAAAAGTCAAAACTTTGGGTCGATGATCCCTTTGTGATGCTTTTCACATCTCGACAAACTGAATCTGTAACGGCCTTCGTCG